TCAAGTAATTAGTGTTGCAGAGAATCTAATCATCACCTCAGCCAATATCTTTAGTGATTACGTATGTGAAAAGGAATCCCTAAAATGTCTTAGGAGTTGCTGAATGTTTCTGTAGTGGGTAAATATTTTTTAAACCCACAAAGATTTAAACGTACTTTAATTATTTAATTAATTTAATTAATTTCAACTGTTTCTTTTCCCTTTTTTAAAAAATGTGAATTGTAGAAATTTCCTAAGTGACATATCTGACTTCTATTTTACTTCTATTGGACAACACAGATCTATAGTAGCAACTCAATCAAGTTTCAGCCTTAAAACAGAGGTTTCATTATGTACATCACTTCCAAGAAGCCAATTTCTTCCTTTCCAAAATATTTTAAGGCCTTCGTCCTTAACTAAAATAAAAGTTAGTGACATGTGGTTTAGCATCCTCGAAGAGTTCATGCAGCTTCAAACAATCTTATTTAAATCAGGGAAATAATCATTTTCCATCACGCCCTTTTAAAATTGCTCTTGTTAAAGCAAATATTTCTTGGCAAAGTTCCACATTTACCCTTTGGCACATGTTGCATAACTGCTTTTAATCTTTTTTGCCATGAATATTAAAAAAGAGGATATCAGAGTTAAGAAGAGAAAAGCAAAATGATGTGCGACAGCATAGCGAACTGACGGAGATATTTTTGCCATGCAACTTGAAAGGAGAAATGAAACCAAGGCAAAATATATCCCAGGCTTAGGCCGAGAAAGACAAGTATCAAATGATTTCACTCATCTGTGGAGTATAAGAACAAAGAAAAAACTGAAGGAACAAAACAGCAGCAGACTCACAGAACCCAAGAATGGACTAACAGTTATCAAAGGGAAAGGGACTGGGGAGGATGGGTGGAAAGGGAGGGATAAGGGGGAAAAAAGGGCATTATGATTAGCACACATAATGTAGTGGTGGGGGGGAGCACAGGCAAGGCAGTACAACACAGAGACAAGTAGTGATTCTACAGCATCTTACTACACTGATGGACAGCGACTGTAATGGAGTATGTGGTGGGAACTTGATAATGGGGAAGTCTAGTAACTATAATGTTGCTCATGTAATTGTACATAAATGGTACCAAAAAAAAAAAAAACTATCCCAGGCTTAAGAACTGCTGCTTTTCTGCCTGTGAGGAAGGGGGTGAAGTGAGGAGGGAGATGTCAGAGAAAGTTGAGAGCTTTCCCCTATAGCTCAGTTGTGGTAAGAGTAGAGTTCCTGGGGGCAAAATGCAAGTCACATAACTGTGTGTATGAAGAAATAGCTGCAACAGGAGTTTATGTTTTCTTCTCATACCACAGAATCGAAAATATTTTTTTGCATGTACCCCCAAAGTTTTGGCTTTAATAATAGCTAACATTTATTGGCACTTAGAACATGCCAAGCCTTCACATATATAATCCATTCCATTTTCCCAAGAATGCTAGCAGGAAACTGAGGCACACAAATGCCAAGTAATTAGAGTCACTCAGTAGGTGGTAGAGGGTAGATGAGAACGCAGCCTTCAGGAGCACTACGGTTGACATCAGAACCCACGCTCTTACCACTGCACATACTGCTTCACCCAGCTCTCCCAACCAAGTTATTCTGTCTCTCCTAGGACATGATGAATCCAACAGGCTAAAGCTAACACTTCTGTATTTTCCAAGATATTATTTGACATCACCTATAAATTACAATAAATTCAGGATATCGAAAACCAGGTCAACCAAGGGCAATTTTTTGTAAGATGTTGGAAGTCTACAACCCTAGAAATTCATTTTAAGAGTGATTAAAGAAGAGTGAAAGTCAGTGAAAGGAAGATTTATCTTAGATTTTATCCCAGTGGAGCATTATTAATGAACCAAGAGAATGCTATGAAGAAACTGACTTTTGTTATAAGGTGTGACTTTAAAAGGTTACATGCAAATTGCATGCCTGACCCCACTGAAGAGTGCAAGTCCCCCTCTACAATATCTCACAACATACTTCGGTTTCCTTCATATTTAAACACACTTTAGCTCTCTCAGTTTCTTTATTTATAAAATTGGGATAACCTTACGGAATGTAAGATTTAAACAGATTACATAAAACACTTGGGACAATTCCTAACACACAGCAGAAGCTCAATAAATGTTACTGGGTATTGTCATTTTTAGCATTTAACATTAATTACTACATATATTTTTAATTATTTTTTATTCAACTTACAGAAGATTTTCTTAACAGTTTCCCCATTTCTCACACCTCCCACCACTCTAATATAATAAATTACGGCATATATTTTTTGTGACAGTTCATTCAATGTTTGACTCCCCCCTACTAGAATCTAAGCTTCCTGATGGCAGGGGGCAACTAACCACTGTGGCACACATCGCAACTGCTGCCCACTCTCCAGTTCTCCTTGCCACCTGGGCACATGAGAATGTTGTGTGCTTCCTTGCTTTCTTGGAGCTGAGAATGGCCGCTGACTTGCTTTAACCCATGAAATGTGAGAAGTGTCACTTCTGAGTGGAAGACGTAACTCCCCACTCCTCTTTTTCCCTATTTCAGTGACAGTGTGGCAGCAGATTTGGATGTGAGAATATAACAATGAGTCCTGACATAAAAGATACCTACTTTGGGGGGTAAACTGGGTCTCCAGTAGACATTGATAAGCAAGGAATAAACCACTTTTGCTTAAGCCTCCGAGACTTTGGGGTGGTTTATCACAGCAGCATAACCCAGCTTACCCTGACTATTACAACCTGTTGTATTCCCATAGCCTAGAATAAGGTCTAGCACATAGTATGTGATCAAGTATGTTTTTACTAAATTAACTAACTGAAAGTTTTAATCATTAATAAAAATGAATGATTTTAGTTAAAGAAATTATTTTTTACTCTATTTTGTATACAATGAGAAGCTTTGGAAATTTTAACTGATTTGCACGTGGGGGATCACCATTTTTTGATATCACAGAGTCATACATGCTTTGCTCTACAAAGGGACTCCATTAAAGTGTTGCCGAATTTCAATTGAATAATTTTTTATGTGAAGTGGGAAAAACCTTTATTTCTGTCATAGAGTCATTTACTTAAATAATTTTATTTAAGGGCACCAGTGCCTTACAGAACGTACCTGCAAAATTCCCTGTGTGTAGTCCCTGCCCCCAGGACAATTACAACAACAAATGCAGAAATTGCTCAATCACAATTACACTACAAGGGAGAAAGACCTCAAGGTCAGAAGCATTCAGAGAAATTGTTTAAAAAATCGAAATTGCAGTTTCTCTGGACAGGGGTATGAGCCCTTGGTTGTAGTATCTTTTACTTTTCATTAGAACAAGAATCAGTAAATTTACCAAGACAAAAACTATGAGCCCAGTTTCATATGGTGGTGGAAGCATGACTGGTTCTACAAGTGGTAATGGTGAGGTCAGGCAGATGAATTGACATCACCATAGCTTAAAGCAACGAGGTCCCCAAAGAGTGAGAAAATAAAACCTGAGGCTCTGGTATATGAGAAAGAAGTCACAGAAAAAGAAAACTGTTCTCCAGCACTGCTGATGGTCCTGAGAAAATCAGTTCTCTAGGAAGGTTCATTAACTCCTGCTACCTCCCAGCTCCAGTGAATAGAGGACCACCAGATTTAAAATAACGTAGATATTGGGAGATGATCTGGCATCTAGTCTGATAAAGGTATGAGAAACAAACAAGTCTAAAGTGGTGGAGAGGATTACATGAAACGACAGCTTTGATCTGTGTGAACATACAAAAACTTTAGGCTTTGAAAAGGACATATGACTCTTGGTGCCAAGGTAGGCAACTTACCTGGACCATCACCTAAGTGTGTGACTTTGGGCAAGTATTTTAATCTCTTGCTTCTTCCATTTCCTCCCCTGAAAATAAAGATAAGGGTGACCACCTCAACGGATCGTTGTGGGAACTTGACTTGGTTAAATCCTATACAGCACAGTTGGTCTGCCCACAGTAATCACTCAGGCAATGTCCTTCTGTATTACTAGGACCCTGGTGCACAAACTATTCAATTATGCGGTCCAGGACTTACCAGCTATTTGACCTTGAGCACATTACTTATCTTCCCTGTGCCTTATCTGTAAAATGAAATAATTCTTACATCATAGGGTTGTTAGAAGGAGTCGTGATACAACACCTGGTGCAGTTCCTGACTCATAGTTATCCCACAATCACTGCTACCTGACGTACGATTTCTTCTAGTGAGAAGTTGAATGGAATAGCAGACTCAGGCTCAGGCACCCGGAAGTGCAGTGGGGTGCGTGAGGGCTTACAGTAATATGTGGAGAAATCAAGGAAAAAGTTCTGGTACTTGTAAAGAAATGTGTGTGCTCTCTTACAATGATGGGGTCTTGGCTCTTTGAGGTGACGTTTAACATGGTGTATGCTCACTTGTTTAAAGGTTGTAAGCTCACGTAAGAAAAGCTGAGATAAATTCCTGAGGGAAGAGATCCAGACTCGCCAAACGTTTACTGCACCCAGTCAAAACTCGGATCTGGCGCCCTGACTATCCAGCAGAGGCCGCCCTGGGCCAGGGCTCCCGGGACCTGAGCTCCAGGAAAAGGCAGGCTGGGGTGGCCTAGTCCTCGCCGCGGGGCCGGGTGGGAGGGGTTTGACGGCGGCCGGCGCGGCGGCGGAGGCGGCCCCGGGCTCGCGCGGCTGGGATGGCGCAGAAGCGCGCCGGGCGCTGGAGGACACGCCGCTGAAGGAGCCGCGCCGCGTTCGCCTGCCTTCGTCGCTAGCGCCCACCGACTGCCACCGCAGCCAGCCGGGATCAGGAGGAGCCGTCCGCGCCCGGTGCGCTCGCTCAGTCCCCGCCAATTCTCCCGCCGCCCGCGCCGGGCTCGGCCCCGAGCAGCAGGGTACCATGGTCTGCAAGACTCTCTTCGCTCTTTGCATCTTCACGGCAGGTATTTTGGGGGGTCGTCCTCCCGGAGGGGCCGGGCGCTGTAGGGGCTGAAGACCGGGAAGTAAGTCGACGCGCTGGGTGGCCGGAGTGGTGCGAGTCTCCGGGGTCGCGCAAAGTGTGCGCCCTGGGGTTTGGGGTGAGGTGCGCCTTTGGAGATCCTAGGCTGTAAGGGAGCGAGGGGGTGACAGGGTCCTTTCTGCCGCAGCCCGCGCCCGTCAGACTCTGGGTTTGGTGGTTCTTTGTGGAACAGGTGGCTGCGCGACGCGTTCGAACATCGGGTGGGCGACATTGGCTGCGAGTGGAGACTTCTCAGGTCTCCAAGCATAGCCTGCCAAAGTCATCTCGGCACTAGGCTTCTCGACGCGGTTAGGTCCAGGGAGGGATGAAAAAAGCGGGAGAAACGGAGGGGAGAGAAATCGCTTCTGGGAAGGCTTTAAGTAGCGGCTGCGCGCCCGACCGGCTGCTGTGCGTTGCCCGAGACTTGGAGGTCTCCGGTCTCCGGCGTCCCTTCCTATTTACGCTTGGATGCGGCACTAACAGCCCCGCAGGCAGCTGCCCGGCTCCGGCTCAAGCTTGCGATCACCGCTTGGGGTTTGCAGTTCTACCCTGTGGCCTACAGTCTTTCGACAATGCATGAGGGGGCAGAAACTATTAACTTGGCTAAAGTAGCATCCCGGTTCGCCCCCATCCCCACGCACACACATATCCCGCCTCGGGACGGCTCCCCCGCGCGCGTCCTAGGTCGCTAGACCACCTACTGCAGCGGCCTCCCGAATGGGGCGGAGGGGAGGGAAGCGGAGCATGTGTGAGTGAAGAAGGAGATTAACAACAACACCTTTGAGTCTGGAGTTGGGGTACCCAGAATTGCAGCCCGACAAAGAACAACTATAGACTATGGATAAAGCACCATTGGAAAAGGAAGCCCCCGGCTGCTTGGACACTGGCCTGTTTAGATAAGAATATTCCTATAAACCACGTAGCACAAGCCTCTTCGACTCCTGCGTGTAATGTGTGTGGTTTTATTCCTCCTTAGTTACTTGGGTTTCTGTAATCGTGGACGCAAGTTACAATCTCTTGTAAAGAAGCTAGGGCTTCCTGGCGCCTCTCGAAGGATAATACAGTTTTGAGGAAAAGTTTCCCCACTTGAGGTTACAGCGTGTGTTTTCCCCTGCTTGCTGAACGCCAGAGAGATCTCTTTTCGCTCTGGTATCTGCACGGTTCGGAGACTTGTCGGCAGACGGTTCTCGAGCACTCTCGCGCTGCTTCTGCTGCGCAACCTGGGGCAGTGTTTGGAGCGCCCGCATCCCAGCAGGTGTAACAGATGCCTCCCCAAACCCCTGGATTGCCTACTGTGGCAATTGAGCCTCCCAGCAAGAGATGTTTACGAAATGACGTGGAAGGTGCCTTTACTTCCTCTTCACCAGAAATCTTTTCCTGAGGCTCGAGGCTCAGAGCACCTTGAAGCAGCCAGTAGGCCAGTAGGTAGGTTTGCTAATTTTATTCCGTGGCTTGTCTTTTTTATTTTTATTTTTTAACAGCTTTGGCAGTTGGCAAAACTCGGATTAGCACTCCTAGGCACTGTATTGTATTTTTTTTTCCTAAGGAGCTCAAGACATTTTTCTTGGCCAGTTTTAGTCTGTATTCCGGAAGCAGGAATACAGCCCTTGTCCACCGCTGGTGTTGGGGGG